ACGGGTGACGTGACAAAAATAGTGAAGCTAAAATATCCTTTGTGGTTATAATTGTAGTATAAGCTGTGGAACATGTAAAAACTCGTACGTTTGTACTACGTAAAACATTTACATGAACTTTATCAAAAACGCACGCACGGTCTGTTTCAGTTGAAGAAATTCGATCCGACCATGACCTTTCCGTGATTTACGGAGTGCCGTAGCCATTTCATTTGTACGCTTTTCATCAATCGTGTTAAGAAATTACGTCGCGTAAACCACCGTAAACTTACACTTCATTGACAATTACGGCGCATTGCGGCGTATTTATATTTACGTGCTATAATCAAACAGTAGCTTTTCTTATTCACTACAAATGTACAATATATAGGACAAGGAAAGAGTCGCATGACAAATTTCAATTGACGACCTACGTGGTCGAGTGGCTTGGTTTTCATGGTGTCACCTGGATTCGATTCTCGGCCGGGTCAATTATATAGACAATTAAATTTCCTATATTGTCTTCCAATGTGGGTGTTTCTAGTACAATATCGGTATTAGAAACATCCAGATTCGATTTCTAACCAAAGTTACTTTAGTTTCTTACTTGGGAACAGAGCAACGTATGTGATGTTGTCTAATTAATATTTTATTAATTTCCTGTGAAATTGTATCATATATATCTCATCTACGTATTTGTTGATACTGCCAATTGTGACAGAAACTGATTTACTGATATCACGATTTCTATGACAAGGGCATAAAATCGGTTTTATAATGGCGCTTACAGCTTTGTGTACACACTTGGATGTTTGCACGATAACTGACCTTCGTAAAATTATCTCTCGTCACAACTGAATTCGCGTAATGTGTGTAATCACAATTATTAGTACATCGTTAGTCGCGCATCGCGTCGTGATTTTGTTGATATTATAATTGTTGGGTTTGTACCTTTGAATTTTCGAAGGGCACTAACGTATAAATATCCCAACTAGCTATCTAGTAGAAACTGTAGAGTTCTTTGTGAAAGAGTTCGTCCAGAGAAGTACTGCCACCTTATTATTTCGTTTAGGTTTAAACCACCATTTATCAATATTATACTGCACGAATTTTCCTATGCCAAAATATAAGATTTTACCCCGATGGGGAAAAGGCGTTAAGTATGTGTATGTATTATCAGAATGATTAGTTAAATTGATACAATACTATTTGGGCGCCTTCAAATTAGACACTTAAAGAAGCGCTGCAGTGGCGCGTCTGCAGCGCATCGGTGGCGTGGCTGCCGTGCCCCTACTAAATTTTCATACAATATCTAGTCTGCAAATGTGACGCGTATGTGGCACTGCAGTTGCGCTTCTAAATATTGTATAAAAATGCACGCCACTGCAGCTCTTCTATAAGCGTCTAATTAGTATATTTTTTTAATTCATGCAGTATATTGATAAATGGTGGTTTAAAAGTGATGAATGTCGTTAGTGTTGTGCGCCCCGTTGCTAGATATATTTAAAAAAAATTAACTACTAATAAACGATAATTTAACGTAATTTTTCCAAAAATAGCCCAGCATTAATGTCTCCGTTCATCAGCTGCATTTAAAATTAATGATTTACACATCTGTTGTTTTTCAATTTCTTTCCGTTTAGGAAAAGACAAAGGTTTGAAACCATACAGCGAAGTCTTGGTAAATTTTTCTTTTATGGTTTTTGATAAGTACGTATACGCCAAGTCTTCACTGTTGTTATTATTATTCTTCTTAATGACGGCCACGAAGCTTGAGCCAGTGTCAGTATTATTATAAAAATTATACGTAAAAAATAGCGAAGCCGCCAAAAGTCTTCAGGTTCATATTGACTGTTACATGTTTCTTCACTATTTTATCGTGACTCAGTCAATAAAGAGATCTTATACCCACCAACTATAATTATGTATCAAAAAGATATTAGTGAATATTTCATTAGATATTTTTGTCGAAAGTATACTGAACACGTCAAGAGATTTTATTGATTAACCCAACCAGTGATGGCGTGGTAGGGAAGAGTAGAAAAAAAGTGCACTTGTCCCCGCCAAGGGGGAGAACTGGTAGAGACTAGTGGAATAGGTCACCAGTGATGGCGTGGTCGGCAAGAGTGGAAAAAAAAGTGCACTTGTCCCCGCCAAGGGGGACAGATGGTAGGGACTAGTGGAATAGGCCTTTGAAGGCGTGCTGATAAAATTACAGGCACATGCTGTTGGGTAATTTTCCGAAAATTTTCAAATAGTCCATCGTTTTAGTTCAGAAACTTCAACTTTTGACAGGTGTCAACGTCAAATGTGAAAAAATATTGGAAAAATATCCGGACAAATATTTATTTTTCAGAAAAATATAATTTTTTCAGAATGGAAATTTTTTCATGACCCAACACTACATGGTACTTTTCAACTTAAGGCTCAGAGTGATGGGCGCCGTGCCAACTCAGATCTTAGCGATTTACTGTTCCGGACACTCATGTCGCTTATCACCGGGCGTACGACTGTTCGTCCCGTCACTTCGTATCGTAAAAGCAAAATCCAAACTTAAATAATCTTTGCTTCAATGATATGCAAATCGTCACATTGATTAAACTCTACATCCATTAATTATTTTAGTTCATTCAATAGTACACGAGTAAACCATCCATCCAGTCTGTCCAATCAGAATTCAAGGTTGATTTTAAGACTATTTGAACAAAAAAATTATTATATAAGAAATTCTAAAATCAGACTATAACAATTTGATTTTAGAATTTCGTTTAGTTGTACGCTCAAGAATTTCAAAGTTCAAACTGAAGTGTGACCATCGTTCAGAAATACGGACCTACTTGTATCAAATACGTGCTACAATTTCCGGTTTCGCAGATGCAGTCCGTGATCGTTTGAGTTTACGAACTAGAGCGTGCCAACGGGACAGTATCAACAAAGGGTTTCTTGAAAACTGGCCAT